ACCCTATTGATGTAGATGCTGAGATCCCTGATGACGGGAGGGGTGGTGACACTCAGACAGGGGGGTTGGCAAGATCTAGAAACCATGTGGTATGGCAAGATCGATTTGTTAGCGAGAAAACCTACCACAAATCCTGGGAATGGTGGCCACAGAGGTCTCTCACCCTCGAGAGGCAATTCATAGAAAGAGATCTTCTACCCCACAATCACAATGTGAAGAGGCAATTTGATGAAAGAGTGGGGTGAAAATTCTTCACAAGCAAGTTGCCGGAGGCCAATGAATATTTAGTCAAAGAGTTCTATGCCAACGTAGCCCACATAAAAAAGGGCACCTATGTGACCAAGGTGCGGAAATGGAAGATCAGATTTGATGGCAAGACGCTGAATGACTATGTTGGGTTCAATGACGAGGATGAGTCCCTGTATCTGGAAAAGGTGGCTTTGGATGAGTTAGCCCGCCCTTGGCTTGCATCAGTGATTGCTCTTCCGGGGACTACTCCAGCTTGGCTGACACCTGGGGCTCCAATCTACAGAAACACTCTGAGCTTTGAAGCGAAGGGGTGGTCTACTTTTGTGTGCAGCCGGTTAGACCCTACTACACATTACAGTGATATGCCGCTTTCCCAGGCTCTTATTGTGGGGGCTGTCAAGGCGGGGTACACGATCAATGTCGGGAATATTATGGCCAAGGTGATTAACAGAGCGGTTGGAAAAGATGAGAACTCATATCCTTTCCCAAACTTCCTCACCATGTACCTGGAGGATCAGGAAGTAAAAGGAAGGGATTTTGACACCAAAGTGAAACCAAAGAGGCCATTTTCATGGTACAACCTTCATGGTCCGGACAACCCCAAATCCAAGGGCAAAGCCACCACTTCCACTGGCCAATCTGAAGAGCCATCAGTGGTGGCCACTGGTTCTGAGCCTTCCACTGCCATGCCACATCCTCCCTCCGGACCATCTACTTCTATGCCTTCTTCGGTACTTTCTTCATCAGCATACGCTCTTACTGCTCTGAGGGTTAATCAGACTCTTTCCAGCATCAACAACTGGATGCAGGCAGCTACATCTAAGTTGTCTGTCATATCCAGCACAGTGGCAGCTCAGTCAGTTCCAGCTCAGCCTCAGGTGCCCGCTTCAGTGGAGGAATCTCTAAAGGAGCTTCTGGACAACCAGAAGAAGCTCCTGGATAACCAGAAACTTATCATGGATGCTTTGGAGGCACAAGGAAAAACAATCAAGGACCTGGGCAAACAAACGAAGAAGCTGAAGAAGACTCGGGCCTTAAAGGAGTCAGTAAAGCTGCTGAGCAAGGAGGTTGAGAAGATTAGATCAGCTGGAGACATTCCATTGGACTTACTCTTGGAGGAGCCAGTCCCAGCAGCTCAGGCAGCACATGCACCAGAGCAGGAAGCTGACAGAGAGCCCATGAGGAGAAGGGTGATCCCCCAGACTGAGGATTTGGAGATTGAGCTGGAGGACCCCGAGGGAGGTGACTGAGGCCAGCCACAGGACCCAGCCGGTGACCCCATGCAGATAGAGGCATCATAGGGAGTTCTTCTTTACTCTCTACCCTTCCCCTATTCTATTTTTGCTGATAGCATTGAGGACAATGCTACGCTTTATTTGGGGGGGGGGGGGGGGGTTGGTGGTGGTGGTGGTGGTGGTGGCCTATTTTGATGATGATCTGGATATTTGGTTTGTAATAACCTTGATACTATTTTTCGTTATTCTCGTACTTTTTACTTTTGGTATGCATATAAAATTACTTTTCCATGTATATATTCATTCCCCTTTTATGTATATTCGTCTTAATCCCCTATTGTACATATTCAGTTTACTTTCCATATTTTACTTTATAACTTCTTTTGCAATTCTCCTTAATAGCATAGCTTCTTATTTCATTCAGTAGTTTCTTTTTCAATTTTTAGCTTCTTACTTTTACAAGTTTTCGTGATCAATAAGCCTTTGGTTTTCTTAATGCCACGATTCTTTCCAAAGGTGGAATTGGTGTGAACCGGGTGACTCTTCCCAATGATGGATGGTGTGACAACCTTCTTAAAGGTTTGAGTCCGATTTTCTTTATGTTTTTGTGTAAATAATAGTAATGATAAAAGTGGCTCAGGCAAAGCTTCACTTGGGCCTAGCACATTACCTTCGACCTTATGGTTAGAAACAAATTGATTTGCAAGGAATGGTGCTAGTTGTGACCTTTAGACTCTTGTGTTGACTAAACAATCGTTGAGTGGCTTCTTGGAGCCATTTGTGTTGCTCAATCTTAGCTAGGGTTGTTGTGGGCCCTCGACTCTGTCTCTTTAACAATCCAACAACTTGTGAGGTGAGGTATTGATTTGCAAGTCCAAGTCCCGTGCCAATAAGTCTAGAACTTGCCCTGAATGTTTGTCTAGGCGAAATTCTAAGTGTAGCTCGACTAGATAAATGATTATAGGCTCTCCTTGATCCAAATTGAAACTTGAAAGCATCCATAGCCCACCAAATATGATATCCCTAGTCAACCCCGTTGAGCCGAAGCCCTTGTTCTTTCAATAACCATGATACAAGCCTTTATCTGTTCTACAATGACCCTCTCTTGGCACCCGATCTTTCCTTAGCATAATTGGCAAAAGCATAAGTTTGGGGGGAGAGACGAGGAATGCAAAAGTGATAAAAGGTATAAAATGAAGAAAAGGGAAGGCAAAAGAAAAGCCAAAAAGTCAAAAAGAAAGTGAATAATATAGAAAAAATGAAGGGATTCAATAAAAGCAATGATGAAAGGCTTGGAATGATTAGAAAGGAGAAAAATGATTGACATGAACAAGAAAGAGTGACAGTGTGTCTCTCGAGTCCCCTAAGGAAGAAGAAAATGACTCAAAGAGTCAAGAAAGTGTGAGCCGAAATGAGAAAATGAAGTGCTTAAGGAAAGATGAAACCTTCATAGACCGATATATCCGACCTTGAACCAAAAGCCTTCATTACATTCCCGCAAAAGCCCTATATGATTTCGAGTTGAGTGAGCTTACATTAGTGGTGATTCACATAAGGGGCAAGCTTATGGTACTTAGAGCCGGACTTGTGACCTTCCTTTGAGAGAGATGAGCTTTCTTTTCCACAATCCTCATTCTGAGTGCTACAATCTAAAGTGAGGTTTGTTTATGGAGAGTAGAGGAGTAAGAGTTTGGGTTCCACAATGACCTATATAGTAGAAAGAGTTTCCTTGATGTGTTAAGTCAACTCTTGATGCTTTTATGTCGCACTAGGGCTATCGTACTAAAAAGGTTGTGTGTTGTTAATAATACATTTGAGTTGAGGGTAATTGTTAGTCCCAATTGATGCTTGATGAAGTCACCTTAGGACAACTAAAATTTTCCTTTCTTTTATCTTGAGGAGGTGGGAATTACTTTGTTTGCTTGAGGATAAGATAAAGCTTAAGTTAGGGGGAGTTGATAACTATGGATTTAAGCCTATCTTATGCTCTCTTTTGCTTAGGTTTTGGATAAAAAATGTGTAAAAGTATTCCCGAAAACTGACTTATTGTGCTTGTCTACAGGGTTTGGTCAAAATGAGGCAAGAAAGCCATAATCAACTCATGAAGGAGTTAAAATTGCACAAGTTCAAAGCTGAGATAAAAGCGCTGACCGCGAAGGAAAAGAGCGGCCGCGGAAGATCCACTACTGACGCGGCCACAATTACGCGGTCCACGGAATTGAGGTTCAGAGAAGGTATTTTGGGTGCAACAGAGGCCGCTAATCGCGATGACAAAGTGCGGCCCGGAATACCTGACGCGGCCGCGGTGGTATTTCCGCTGAGAGCGGCAATCAAGGTTCAGAGACCCTGCAAAGTAAGCCTAACTGAGGAGCGCGGTCCGTGTCCAAATTGCGCGTCCGCGGTTGAGGCTAACGCTGAGGCGGTAACTTATACGCTGTCCGCAAAATTAAGTCCAAATCGAGCACAAAAGTGAAGAAGCGCGGTCCGCGTTTGTTTTGCGCAGCCACTGAAGTCCTTACGCTGAGGCGCTCATTATTTCGCTGATAGCGGAACCTCCGTAGGGGTATTTTTGTCCAGTAATTTCAGGTGTGTATAAATAGTTCCTTTTCACATTTTTAGGGCATCTTTTGTCTGAGGAGCTCGTGAACAGCCGTATTTTACTACATAGAGTAATTTTAGAGCAGCTTTAGCTATTAATCTTAGATTTTATTCTTGTGATTAACTTTTATGGCTTATATTTCATCTCCATCTTTGATTTCTACCTTGATTATGAGTAGCTAAACCCATCATCTAGGGTTGTGACCCAACCCTAGTGTGGGTATTTAATGGGTCTTCAATTTTAGGGCTTAATTGTTTATGAGTTAATGATATTTAGCTTGATTCATGCTTTAGTTGTAGAATTGGTGGTTGCAAATACTGATTCGTGCCTTTATGACTTAGACTCTTCTTGAGAAAGAGGGACTAAGTCTAGGAAATTCAGGCTAACAAGGAATTGGGGTGCATTCAAGAGATTGATAGCTCCAATTAAAGGGTTAAACCTAGAGATAGTAATACCCGACTTGAGCCAATTTTACTTGCATTGTTTGAACACCCAATTGGGCTTGAGAAAGCTAATTAGGGCAAAGTCACTAAAACTACCGAGAGGTATAGAGTGAGTAACTATGTGTAAAGGTTATATCATGACCCCAAATATAACAAGCTTGTCCTAAATTCTAGACCCCATTAGATACTCGCCTAGGTGTAAGTCACTTCCCTAGTGCTTTTTATCAATTGAGAAAAATTCTACAAAAACATTGTACTTAGATTATTTTCAGCAATCAGTAGCATTAAAAGTGGAACAGAAACAAAACCAAGCATGGTTAGAAGTGCAATTAAGAACAACACGCATAACTAGATTTGATAGAAACCCAACTCCCAACCAATATTAGCTCCTTGTGGATATCGATCCTGACCTTTCGGGTAAAAGCTGCATCGACCACTCCTTGACATTATTTAGTGGTGTAGGGTTGGAGCCGATCAAGCTTGTAACAGGGACAAGCAATAGGTGGGCATACTCGACAAAGTGCTTTTAATAAGCACTTCCTTACCGCCTTTTGACAAGTACCATTTCTGCCAGCCTGCTAATCTTTTTTCAACCCTTTCGATCGCTGAATTCCAAACCGTAGTATCCTTATGCAAAGCACCCAATGGGAGACCCAGGTAAGTAGTGGGAAGAGAGCCCACCTTACATCTGAGAACATGAGACAAAACATCAATGTTAGCAACCTCACCCAGGGGGGAAATCTCACACTTGCCGAGGTTGATTTTAAGTCCTGGTACTATCTGAAACCACTGCAGGACCTGCTTCAGGTAGGTCAACTGATCCATATCGGCATCACAGAAAACCAGGGTGTCATCCGTAAAAAGCAAATGAGAGACTCTTCGGGTACTGAGCACCCCGATCGGAGCTGAGAATCCTCTTAAGAAGCCTCCACCTGCCGCACGATCTATCGTTTTACTCAGAGCATCCATCACTAGAATGAATAGCATGGGGATAGGGGGTCACCTTGCTTGAGACCCCTGGAGCTGCCAAAAAAACCACACGGGCTACCATTAACCAGGACAGAGAATCTGACTGAGGAAATGCAGAACTTGATCCATCCCCTCCATCTTACCCCAAACCCCATCCACATCATAATGAAATCCAGGAACTCCCAATTGACACGGTCGAAAGCCTTCTCAAGGTCCAACTTGCATAGTAAGTCGGGTTCTCTATTTTTCCTTCTGGAGTCTACAAGTTCATTTTCCACCAAAGTAGCGTTCAAGATCTGCCTACCTTCCACATATGCATTCTCGGAGGACGAAACAGACACGTCAAGAACCTTCTTGAGTCTATTGGAGAGCACTTTAGAAATAATCTTGTAAATGCTCCCCACGAGACTAATAGGCATGTAGTCTCTGATACAAGATGCACCTTCTTTCTTAGGCACAATAGTAATAAAAGAAGCATTGATACTTCTCTCGAAAACACCATTCACGTGGAAATATTCAATGGCTTCCATCAACTCCCCCTTAATGCCGGGGGCCTTATCACCAGCACAACTCGACACATCCTCGTGCACCTCCTCCTCCTCGAAAGCCCTTTCTAGCCTTATCATGTGGAAGTATGCAATGGCATCTCTCTCATGGTGGAATCCTGCTCCTGCCATGAATGCAATGGCATCTTGTTCTCCAACTCCAACATCATATAAATCCTCCAACTCATTATCACTGCCGCGCTCTGTGTTTATCAGCAAGCAGGCAAAGTTAATCAAACAAGCTAAGGGTCTTTTGGTTAAAGCACAGCAACAGTCAAAGAAAAAGAATCATTCATTCACCAATTCTAGAAGTAATACCAGCATTCAGTGTCTCTTACAGGAATAGAAATGGACTCATGAAGGTTCCATTACCGAGTCGCTCCCCAATGGCATGTTTAGGGTCAAATTGGATAATGCAGATGTCGTTCTGGGAAAATACGATTGTTGCCAGGAGACAGAGCCAAAATTGAAGTACGTTGGTATGATTCCACTAAAGGACGCATCATTTGTCGTCTCCGTGGTGGCCGAGAAGGCTAGGACTCAAATGGTGGTGGAAGGCTATTTTGTAAGTGACCATCTCTGCTGATGAACCACTATTCACCTGCTCCTATCCTTGCTTATGAGAAGAGAACCTAGAATGTATATTCATATACTTAGATATTCATTGGCATTTACTTTTGTTATTGATGTTTATGTTTTGATTGTAAACTAAGTCTGGAAAAGCAAAACTTGTGCATATTTTGATTGTTTATTGGCAATTTTAGGAATCATCTTGCACGGAAATAACTGAATGTTAGTATATGTTATTATAGTAGCAGACTTTTGTTGCCTATTTTGAGTTCATTCAATAGTAAACAATAAAGTTCACTTTGCAATTCATTTCTCAGAAAGATATTAAACCCAACAAACTCTTTCTTCTCATTTCCATTGGCTAAAGGCAACCAAATGTCACTCGTAATGTAGGATTAACAAAGTGACAATTTGTGGAAGGCAAGAAAGGAAATGTGTCTTGCGCTAAACATATGTTGAAATATTTGAAAATCAAATTACATTGAACAACAACAATAACTACACCTCAATCCCAAACAAGTTGGGGTTCGCAATATAAATTATCATTCCTTTCTTTAAATTCAACTCATATTATCATCATTAACAAAATTGAATTACATTGAATGCGTCAGATAAAACAACAAGTCATTTCAATATAAAGTGAACTGATGGTCGTGTCATTTTTTTGTCAATAGCTGCAACTCTAGCCTCATGTAGTCACTTCCTGAGAATGATAAATCCTGCAAAACATTCACAAGCATCAGTATTTGCTGTGCTAAAATGAATTATACTCAAATGAGAAAGGACCTTTATCAAGTTATTTTCTTTTATAAAAGCATGTACTCATTCTAGTACAACACGATCTTGTGAGCATCTATGCCTTCACGGTTCAGTAGACTGCAGAAAAGAACTCCCAATAGATTAGATCATTTGTCTGTTCGGGGACATCCAATAAAATTGAATCGATACAGAGAATAGATTTGTTCGCTTAAGACACAAAGTTAATATGGCATTGACTTGTTACAAAATGGAAAGTAATCAAATCCTCAAGGGGAACAGTAAAATGATTAAAAGTGGAGGGGGCGCATGTATTCACCATTGAGATGACTACCAGCACAAACATGCTCATTATTTTGAGAGAATAAATACAATAATTTAGTATCCACAAACTTCAGTTACTCATAGATTTTTGTATTAGAATGTAAAAGCATTTCCAAATATTGTAAAGCTGAATTTTCTGTATAGATATTACATCTCGCGTTTTCGTACGTTGAAAATTTCGTTTTCAGTTAACCGACGTAGACTCGGGGGTAAGATCATCTTGACGTTAACATACTTACGCTATTTATAACAAGCGATAAATAAGTGTTATGAAGGATAAAGGGGTACACGGATTAATGAAAACGAGTTTCGTTGGAAGTGGCCAATTTGGAATAAAATACGGATCGAGCGATAATACCCGATAATTATGAACTAGTACTATGCAAGGTACCATATGACCACGGTAGTATAATATATAAAGTATATATGAAGTATTTTAAAAAATAAATAGAATTTTAAGTAATTTGTGGTAATATTTAAATTATGCAGGTAATTAATTAATTACCAATTAACTAATAAGTGGATGAATAATTAATAAACTAACCCCACACGTGGCAAGAAGCCACAAAGCCTAGACAGTGACTAAGTAGTCACAATTCTAGGTGGCTACTTAATAATGACTGGAAGTCTTAGAAAGACTTATACAAACTTTTCCAAATCTGTCTTTAGATTTATTTTAATGTCTTTAACCTCATTTAATGCCTTTGGCTTCATTTTTCGTTACTTTGGCATTGAAGCAGAATCATTTTCATCCAAACTCTTATCTTTAGCCAAAAATTTCATTCTGTCATTGGTTACCAAAAACGTGAGAAAAGCAGAAACATTTCTTTTCAATTCATTAGAAGCAAATCTCGTCCAAGCTTCAACAAATTAAGCACAATTTCGTTCAACAATCAAAGAAGCAGGAGCTTCATTCTGTTGCGTTCAACATATCTCATAGAAGCAGAGCTTCATTTCATTCAAATAATTCAAGGCCAGGTATGTTAAGGCTCAGCCATTATTTCATTTTGCATGATCTTGTCATTACAGATTTTGTTAATGAGCCATAAAAAAAAATTCATATCACGAAATTTACGTATATTTGGCTTAGTCTCGCAAATTACAATATATTTTTTCTAGTTTTTGTAAGTTACCATATTCTTCTTATCGGGACTGCATATTCACTTGAGTATTATCTTCTTCCGGTCAAGAGAGCAGGGAGTTTACATATATACAGTATTAAAAGTATTTTCATTACCATCGAGCTATAATTGATGGGCAGGCCCCTATTGGGCAACCTCTGATCAGATGGTAATTATATTGACGATCCTACTGTGGCCGAGCGCATATGAGCGAGCCCAGTTGGTCGAGATATATAGCCTAGTATGGCCGAGCGCCTATGAGCGAGCCCACGGCAGAGCAGTTTATATATATATATATATTATATATTACTGAGCTTTAAGGGTCGGATCAGCTATTTTACTCACTATATTGAGAGAGTTGAGTCAGTATCAGCTGATGAGCATATCCTCAGATTATCTTTGACTCCCATTTGCTTTCAGTTATTATATTATCAGTTCGGTTTCGGCTTTTAGTATATTGCCTTACCTACTCGGTACATTATTTCGTACTGACGACCCTTTTCTGGGGGCGCTGCATTTCATGCGTGCAGGTTCAGACAGACAGATGGGTAGACCTCCTCATTAGATGTTGCCCGAGTTCAGCTTGATCGGTAAGCTCCATACCTTTCGGAGTTGCTGAGTCTAGAGCTTTACGTACATCTTTGTATGTATATATATATATATATATATATATATATATATATATATATATATATATATATANGTAGGTCGGGGCCCTGTTCCGATCATAGTATATCCATCAGTAGAGGCTTGTAGACATATCCTGTCAGTTAATACAGTATATTGGGCTAGTAGGCCTTTTATGTACATTTTGTTGGTTTGTCAGCTGTAGTAGTTATGACGGCCTTATCGGCCCAGATTTAAATTGAGATTTAGTCAGTATTCGCAATTGTCTTGCAATGTGGCCCATGGCCAAAGTATGACATTACATGTTCAGGGTTCCTTAGTTGCAAGTTGGTACGCAATGATAGGTGAGGCATCGGGTTCCGGTCTCGCCCCTCAGGTTCGGGGCGTGACAAAAGTGGTATCAGAGCAGTTCTGTCCTAGGAAGTCTACAAGCCGTGTCTAGTAGAGTCTTGTTTATGGGTGTGTCGTGCACCACACTTATAAGCAAGAGGCTACAGGGCATTTAGGACTGTCACTCTTTCTTCTTACTCTAGATCGTGTGGTAGAGCTCACTTATAAGAATTCAAATTCCAAATTTCTATTTTATTTGTAATAAGACGATGCCTACGTTCAGAAAGACGATCGATAAGAGATATAGTTGTGGAAGTGTTGAATTAGAGGAACTCGATTTTGAATCTTGCTTATGATGAGTAAATGCGAGGTCTTCAGCAGATCATACGTATACTAAAAGGTAAACGGTTCTTGATAAGGAGCCTTTAGGAAAAAATACTTATCCACTCTTACGGTAAAAAGGAATAACGGAATCGGAAGTTAGACACAAGTTGCAGCAAGTAAAAGAAGCAAGGTGAAAAAGGGTACAAGGTACCCAATGAATAAAGATTATCATTATTTACCATTGAGGAAGGGAGATATAAGCATTTTGAATTACCTTCAACAGTAATAGATGTACGTACAATTGGTCGCACCCATTCCAGATATGCCCTATGGGGGTTAACAAAAGTAGTATAAGAAGATATGATGGATGAATTGATTGCGTCAGTTGACATTTCCGAAGGGTATTGCAAAGGTGCTAATAGATCTCTTTATGAGACACCTAGATGATGCACTCTAGAATATCACAATTAGATGTGAATACTAGCATGATAAAAAACAAATTCACAAGATAGGCATTGAAAGCCTGGAAGAAATAAATATTACCTTAGTGTGACTCTCGTCCCTAGTAGAGCGAGGAAGTTGAGCAACCCGAAGAGCCAATGAATGGAGCAAGGAGAGCTAAAAGCGAAAGAATGTCATGTTGAAGTTTTCACAAGAAAGGGATGGCAGAAATATTAGCAGAGTAGTGAAAAGGGAGATAAGGAAGAATTATAAGTGAGATGTGATACATGAATGACAATGGTAGAGTGTTACGGAACCCATAGTCAAATGAAGAAAAGGTGATGGGCCTTAAGACAACAAAAGAGTATATGCCATACAGTC